CACTCACTCACTCGCACACATTATCATAGAATCCCAATAGTGTGGAAACAGGCCATTCGGCCCAACAGCTCCAAACCACCCCTCTGAAGAGCATCCCACCCAGACCCATTCCCCTAACCCTGCATTTCACATGTCTAACACACCTTACTTGAATGTCCCTGGGTACTATGGGCAATTTAGCATGGCTAATCCATTTACCCTGCATATCTTTGGACTGTGGAAGAATACCGGAGCACCTGGAGGAAACCCACACTGACACAGGGAGTGCAAACTCCACACAGACAGTCGCCCGAGGCTGGAATCCAAAAAGGGTTCCTGGCGCTGTGAGGCAGCAGTGCTAACCACTGAGCCACCGTGCCACCCAAAAGCCACAGGGTCTCAAGCTTGCCTTCTCTGAGGATTGAACTCAGGACCCTCAGATTATGAGATTGACACACTGCCTACTGCACTAAGCAGGCACAGCATCCTCACTTTCTTTTGTCCTCACTGCCTTTCACACTCACTCACTCGCACACATCCTCACTGCCTTTCACACTCACTCACTCGTACACATCCTCACTGCCTTCCACACTCACTCATTCACTCACATCCTCTCTGTCTCACACTCACTCATTCGCTCGTACACATCCTCACTACTGCCTTTCACACTCACTCACTCGCACACACCCTCACTGCCTTTCTTACTCATTCACTCACTTGCACGCATCCTCACTGCCTTTCACACTCATTCACTCGCACACATGCTCATTGCCTTTCACACTCACTCACTCAATCGCACACATCCTCACTGCCTTTCACACTCACTCACTCGCACATATCCTCACTGCCTTTCATACTCACTTGCACACATTCTCACTGCCTTTCACACTCACTCATTTATTCGCACACATCCTCACTGCCTTTCACACTCATTGACTCACTGGCACACATACTCCCTCATAGTAACTCATTCAGTCTCTCTCTGTCACACACACACACGCAGAGATACACACTCACACACACTCTCACTCTTTCTCACACTGTCTCTCTCTTTATCATACATATACACTCAATCTCTCATTGTTACGCTTTCTTACGCATGCATTCGCTCTTTCAAACTCTCTATCACTGTTTATTATACATATACACTACACCCACTCTCGACTCTCACTTCCTCATTCTCACATTCTCAACTTTCTCACACATTTACACTCTTTCACTTGCATTCTCTCTCACATTCAGTTGTGCCCTTTCTCTCATGCATTCACAGTGGGGAGGAGGCTTTTGAAGCCATGTTAGACTCACTGGGTAGACTCACTTCCTCAGTTCTGAGGAAGGGTCACCGGACGTGAAACATTAACTTTGTTTTCTCCTTCACAGATGCTGCTAGACCTGCTGAGCTTTTCCAGCAACTTTTTTTGTTCCTGGGTAGAGAAGACAGCTTA